GTTTAAGCTTCCTATATTCTTTACATGGATGATGAGCTTAATTTAGAAGCCTGATTTTGATGGTATAAAGACTTATGAAAATTGGACGGCAGTTGGCTGGTTTAAGTAGATCAACTTCTCTCTTTTGCAGATATTACATCCACAATGGTATGAAAGGTTCTCTAATTACATTTCAATCAAACACCCACGAGACATGTCACTGGAGGAAACTCTGAATACTTGACAAGCATTTTCGGCCGTAAGATTTCGCTTTCCACCGTAACTTTCATGTTTTTTGGTTGGTCAATACTAGTAGGCCGATTTTGTAAGGTATGCAGCTGTCGTTAAGAGAGAATATGTACGTATCTGCTTGCTTCTTGTTGTTTTCGTCACTTGTATGGAACACATATATATTAGATTGTTAATTAACAATCTTACAGGGTATCTGGGGGTACACTATTTCAATCAATGTTGAAGTTGGTCATGTGCTTGACTGCGTTCCGTATGCATTTCTTTCATCTGTTTGTGTGACTGTCTTTGTTCGTTGCATACTATTCCTAGATTGTCACAGATAAAACGTCAAGCACCCGAGGAACCGTCCATCGGGGCGGCCTCAAGAGTACACTACAAGGCATAAAGTTCCTTTACCTGGATATTAATGGAAGATTATCCGCCGTTGTTTCAACTTACTGACCAGAAAAAATATTCGTTATCTTGCAAGGATGTAATTATCCGGATGCCTGAACAATTGGGTTCAATTCGCCTAACAAGGTCTCTATCACATATTTCTAACTTGGAGCTCTCCTGTTGACATTTATGTCAACCTGTACACAAGGATTTTCCATTGCAGTTCGAAGGCAGATTCTGCTGCCGATGCAATGTCATTCACCATGGGACAAATCCTGATTCATTGTTCACATTCACTAAGGCCAGAACCATGGTTTTCTGTCATTGTTGGCTAGTAGATAAACTCTTTTTACTTACAACCAATCTGGAGTTATTTACTCCGCTTTGACCTTTCACTTGGCCGTGGATGCCTACATTTCCAAATTAATTTCACAACTTACCCAGGGAGGACATCCGACTTGTTGTTCGGGACAATTTGAAATACGTATGGGCTTGAACATTTAGGTTCGGCGTTCCTCAGCGCTTCAAAAACACTTCAACATCAAATTTTATTGGATTTCCTCCGGAGACTTTACGTGCTTCGACGAACAACCAAGACATAACAATCCGAAAATGTTCACTTCATGACTTACCAACCAAACGCGCCGAGTCATTCGGTCAGGACAGGACAGGACTCAGGGACGAAATAAGCACTCGCCTAACATGCTTCAGTCAACGGAAAAATTGGACGCAATTCGACTGCAAATAACCGAGTAAATACTCGCTTAACGATAAGCAGAGTCAGTTTCAACTTGCCTTTCAAATGGATTGCCGGCAGAATTCTAGGACGTGGTGGATTATCGCGTGGCAAGCCATCTACGTGGAAAAGCTACAAAAGTCCGTTTAACAACACTGACGCAACGGACGTGACTCGCTACTGCAACCCATTACTTCACACCGGCAAGCCAACAATCGTTGTTTTTCACCATTATAGAAACATACATTACACTGACAGTGCTATATCTGCATATACTGTCGGCACTTTTCTTTCTAAGATTTCATCGTTCACCTTTGCATTACATACATGCCAACTCAGTGTTTGGTCAAATCTACGTCTATATTGTTCCTCAATTATCAGCTGTTCGATCGTCCGGGATTCGTGATCTATTTTTGTCTGGTTTATTACTGCAATATATGGCAGAGCGGTTATGACTTTACAAAAGTGTCCCAACATAACGACGAACATATTAATCATTTTAAGTTTGTACCATTTGTAAACTCTCAACCATGAACCTCTGAAACATTTTCTACTGTTGATGTTACAATTGGCACAAAATGCCCGCACAGCTGAACCTACATGATCATGCCACTGTGTGGTTACCTCACATAGCCGAGAATAAATAATTACTTAGTTATTTTCAGCTTTGCACGCTCACAAGGGAGCACTTTGAAGCGCGCATTTTTGTTTGCGGCTTACGTTCTGTACAAGATGCAGAGATTCCAACGCAATTTTTGAATCAAGGTTAGAGCCTAATCCGGAAGTTTCAATACAGTAGCCCCTACAGGAATTGAACGTAGGTTGTCTCTGAAGCTTGACACAGGAATGTTCCGACGGGACAGCCGCACTTGTGTGGTGGATGTTCGAACTATTCCCACACTCTACAGGCCGTCGCACAATTCAATAATTCTGTCCGAGTTCCTACGCCTAGGCCGTCCGATTAGTTCATGCACGCATTGAGGCCAGTGGCATTTCGCTCGATTTTGTGAAGCGTAAAGGGAATATGGAATATAAAGAGTACAGATGTTTACAGAGAGCCCCTGGAAGACAGCCCTTCTGGCTCTATTGTGCTTACCCTTAACCGATCATCCGGCGTGACATGTCAAGCTTTGGATTTTTATCCGCAATATATCACTGACCATTGACCATATTGACGAATCTTCGCCAAAATCCCAATTTTCAATGTTGTCTACCAAACGCGGTGTTTGCAGCCACTAGTCCGAATTATCAGCCACTGCGAAAGTCTGTTAATGTTATGATAAACGGTGTTTCTGTCCGTCTTCAATTGGACACTGCTTCCAATATTACAATAATCGCTGATTCGACTTGAAGCACGTTCTGTAAGCGCACATGTTTTCATACCGCTCCACACAGACAGGTCATTTATAGACACCCATTGGGGTTATTTGATCATCCTTCCATAACCAGAACTAACACGTACCATCACACGCTACAACATCCTGAACGATCTAGTTGTGACGGCTGATTAAACATTATTGAAAGATGAAAGCGCCTGGATCCAGTTTGCTGGACATTGCAGCAATTTGATCGAAACTACCTCAGAAATGAAGAGAGGTCCTTCCACCAATCGATCGTTTTTCATCAGAAGTCGAAGTTGTAAATGGACGTCACTAGGGAATGCAGTTTGGCCCACCTACAGTGCTCGTCCTGGTCCCGAAACTTAGAGCGACTACTTGACACAACGCAGCCATTTAAACACGCTTGGCCCTGACTCAACAATAATATTTGGCTTGAAATTTACCTCACAATAAGCTCCTATATGAGCATGTAAACGCGTCAGAGTGTTTGCACGACATGCATGCTTGCAGCCGCTACCTAAAATTCGACGGGCAGACAGACAAGTGTTTGATGGCTTCTGGTCTGTATTGCCTTAAATATTCCACGGTTATCCAACATAAACGGCGCTAATCTTATAATCTACCACTTGTTCTGTTTATCAGAAATAAAAAAACAAGCGCACACTTCTGTTAGTGGCTTTCCTTTAGCCGGAACCACGATACGTGTCTAATGATCAGCTTGTTTTTATTATCCGTTGGTATGACAAGTGTGGATTACATGCGGCAGTAATTGCGCGAAAGTACGAAACACTCTACACCGGAAGGCAGAATCTGATGGAACAGTTTCAGGTAATCGGGGACTGTGTGCAACGCCAAAATTCCGGGCGGCTTTGCACTAAATAAATAAATAAATAAATTGTGTATTCTCGACTAAGCGAGGCATGCCTGCGCAGGCATGATCATGTTAAGAGTACAAAATGTGGTCAGTCAATGTACAATGGAACAATGGGATTGTTGCATATGATTATATATGAATGTATGTAAATTTGCATGAAGGCGTGTTTAGCTTTGTTTATGGGATTGGTAAATGTCTCCTGTCATTTTGCTTGAATGTCTTTGAAGGTGTCGCCAGTACTTGCTATCTGTGGACTTGAAGAGATTGTTCGGATAAGCAATGGGTGACTTTAGTTAGTGGCGAGTCAAAACCACCACGTCACAGTGTTGTTAAACGGACATATGTGGCTTTTTATAGGGAGAACGCTTGCCTGGGGAAAACCCACCACGTCCTGGAACACTGCCGCCGACCTATTTGCTGGAACGGGGTAAACCCGTACCACCCAGTTGGCACCACGAGGCGGTTGTTTGGCTAGCCAATGTTCCCGGTCAATTCGGATACTCATGCTTAAGATTCATATTTGAGAATCACAGATGTCCTAAAGTTGCTTTTCCAATTGAACCATCTCCTTCCCTTCAATTGCACTTGTCGGAGCTAACCTAATCTGTTCATTATTCATGTGCCTCGAACTGTGCGAACAAAAAAGTTCGAATGCCGTCTGCGCAACGCATCCGTTCGTCCTTGACAACTGTCATATCACATCGCATTGATATTTTCGTCTCGCGGAATGCGAACCCAGTCGACGAGTAGACACTTTCAAAGAGGAAAACGTCGCTAAATTCGGTAGTGACTGCTTCAGTTCGGCGATCACTTTTGCACTGCCGTGCGGCTTCTCTAGCCGGTAATGACGCAGTCAATTCAACTCAATGACGATCTGCCATTCGATAAGGACGTTATGGTACTCGATTCGATTCGTTTGTGCTAGTGAACCGTGCTGCTGATAATGTATCGGTCGGAAATTTTGGTCTAACAGCCTCGACTGTCGGTTCGACAGCTCTCAGCTCCGAAAACACCTGTAATTTTCCTGCTGCAACTAGTAATTGACCTGAGAACTTGCTTATCACGCATCCATTACGACCCCCTACCTATAGCCATTCGAGTAAGCGATAAGATTGCACATACAATTCGCTTTTACGTCCTGCAGACTACCATCGGTGATACACTGCCGGAAGCAATAACCATGCGCTTTACCTTTGACCACCGCAGTGTTTCACATTCCCTAGCTGTCTACGCTAACTCTACGAATTTAGCATAGAAGTTTGAGGATTGTTACGCCACAATGCTTTCCTCTCACTTCCTCGTTGTACATTTATTTTTTCGTGACTGATGTTGCGATTTATACTTCTACTCTTCGGTCGGAACTTGTTTGACCTCACTTTCTTTCTGGTTGCAATGAACGGCGGACTTTCTACTTTTTCTTGTTTCCTCTCTCTCCACCACCCAGATGAAGCGATTCGGGCTTTTCACCCGTTAGAATCGGGTCCCAACACCGTGGATTTGCGGCAGACTGACAGCTATGCGGCAATATCCTGCAGTCGTGAGTTGTTTGATGGATACGAACAGAAGCTGGCCGCGAAAGATCAAGAGTTGCATCAACTGCGTTCCCGGATTACCAGCTTAGAATCGGAGTTGGCTGAGCTGCGATGTCATGCGCCTTTCAACGATCCCTCTGGTGCCGCGACCACTTCCAGCAATGGTTCTGTTGGTTCGTTTTTCCTTTTACCATTTTACATTCTCCCTTCAAACCACTGTTATATATATATATATATATATATATATATATATATATATATATATATATATATGACGCACACAAAGCATAACCGACTTATTGTTATTTACATCAACAATGAAGTCCTGATCATTTCATTCATTCATTCATTATACACATCAGCTAGAGGTGGGAAAACACCCCCGCTATTGTGCCGCAATACATGAAAGAAACACATACATACATACATATAATGCAATACACAAAGGAAAAATAGATACAACAGTTGCATGCCAGCTGAGCTACCAGCAACGGATAGGCATCGTTCCGGTAAGCTTCCAGCCAGTTACTAGGCAAAAAGAAATTTTTTTATCATTATGTTTTACCCTAGGAAATAAGATCGTAGATGGAGGGGGAGACTAAAAGGGATGGGGAGGGACAAAGAAACTCACAGCAGGAACGCCACTGAGGTCGGCTCCTTGCCATGTCAGCAAGTGTATCCAGCCAAACGTGTTCACCGTCTTTTGGACCCCAACCAGGGAGCCGTGAAGCTCCAACCGAGGCTAGCTCCGAAGTGAGGGACTTCATTCCTCTGGACCAAGTCATCGCTTGGCCACCTCTCCTCTTCTTCCACCCACATCCCCGGTGAGCAAACAACGCACGTCGCGGGAGTCGGTGGGCTGGCATGCACAATACGTGGCCCAGCCATCGGAGCCTGGTGCGTGAAATAACGGTGCTGAGCGGTTCAGATCCTTTTCCTGGGCCGTAAACAATGCGTCGAACTCGCTCGTTACTCACGAGGTGTTTCCACCAAATGTGAGCCAAACTGCAAAGGCACCGGTGGTCGAACGTAGCTAGCCTCTTCATGTCGGTTGATCTAATGGGCCAGGTTTCGCAACCGTACAGTAAGGTCGAACGTAACGCTGCATTGTATACTCTACCCTTCAGGGCGAGATTGATGTCACGCCGCCGCCATAGGTGGCGAAGGTTAGCAAAAGCACTCCGAGCTTTCGCTATACGGTTCGTGATCTCGTCTTCGATCCCAAGGGCGCTGATACAACTTCCCAGATAGTTGAATTTCCGAACGACTTCTAGCTGATCCCTACCAAGGGTCAGCGCAGAAGGCGATCCCTGCCAATCTTGAGGAATGCTTTGCACTTCGATGGTGCAAAGCAAAGCGACTGACAGCCAGTGCTAATCTGTCCAGCGCGGCTTGGCACGTCTGGGAGCTGTCACAGATGAGGGCAATGTCGTCTGCATACTCCAAGTCAAGAAGTCGTTCTCCTGGGAGTAGCTCCACGCCTTCCAAGTCATGTCCTGTAAATGCAAACTCCATGACTTCGTCAATAGCGAAGTTGAATAGGAAAGGTGACAGCGGGCATCCTTGTCTCACACCGCTGGAGATATTAAAGGGTGGCGACAGCTTGCCGTAAGCTCTCACTCTGCCCGTGCTACGCAAATATAATGCTTGGATAATATTTACATATTTCTCGGGCACACCTTTTTTGAGTAAACAATTCCAAAGGGCACATCGATCAACCGAATCGAAGGCACCTTTGATGTCGAGAAACACGACAACGGTGGGCCGCCAATATGTGTGACGGTGCTCCAACAACTGACGCAAGGTGAAGATGTGGTCGATGCAGCCACGAACCCGACGAAACCCGGCTTGCTCCTCACGAATCTGGCTTTCACGAGCGCCAGTCAGTCTGTGAAGAATTTTGGAGGCGATGGAGATCAGACTGATTCCTCTATGGTTGCCGCATTCCGAGCGCGAGCCGCATTTGAAGATGGGAACAATAACGGAACGGCTGCAGTCGCCTGCTCCCACAGTTTCACTAGTAATTCATGTAAAGCATCAGCAAGAGCAGAGCCTCCGAATTTGAAGAGGGCTGGAGGAAGATCATCTGGTCCCGCGGCTTTGTTCAACTTCAACAGTCTGATCTCACTTTCGACTTCTGAGCGAGAGGGTGGATCCAAAGGGACAGCCCACGGAGCAGGGCGATCACTCGCCGGCGAAGAATCGAACAATTCTAGCCGATTAAATTGCTTTTCAAAATGCTCAGCCCAACGCTCCAAACGTTTTGACAAATTGTGAATAGGCTGTCCACTCTCATCACAAATTGTTTCACTAACACCAGGCCTCCTGCTGCCCGTTTCCCGTATCAGACGGAATAACTTACGATGGTTGCCAAGGGCAGCGGCCACTTCCATCTCTGACGCACGATTAGACCACCAAGATTCGTGGTCTCTCTTTAGGCTAGCACGGAGTTTTGCCCGGAGTTCTTTGAGAGTTTCATTGTGCGCGCTTCCAGCTGGGATATGCCGGTGAGCGTCGATAAGTTCCAGAGACCGAGAAGAGACCCAATGTCCATGTTGGCTTTTAGACAAACCGCAAGAGGATTTGCCTGCTGCTAGTAAGGTCTGGCGAACATGTGACCAGTGACCATCAATTGTCTCAGTGAGCGATTGCTCAACTCGCATGTCAGCGTACTTTGATACGCATTCAGAACAACTGGTGTCAATGCGCTCACATCGTCGGCGTGGGCGTCCGCCAAAGCGCATCCGCATGTCAGCGCATACAAGTGCATGATCGCTGTCCACACATGTGCTCCAAACCGAGCGACAATTCTGGATGCAGCCTCTCCAGCGGTAACTAATAGCAATGTGATCGATCTGCGTCCAAGGCTGGTGGGCGCTAAGTCACCCTCCGGCGGGTGCTGTGTCGGAAATTAGTGCTCGCAAGAAATAAGCGAGCATCTTCACACAAATGAAATAACCGCTCACCGTTATCATTACGGGAGCCTACACCGTGCTGACCGCCCAAATGCATTTCATCAGTGGAAAACTTTCCAACTTGTGCGTTCAGATCCCCCGCCAGCACAACAGTGTCCGTGCTTCTTCTGTGGCGAAGGAGCTGGGTCAGTTGGCGGTAGAAGTCGTTCTTTACCGAATCATCGCTACAGTTTGTGGGCGCGTAGGCAGCGATGATGAATAGACACCTATTAGTCCCGCGCGACTTCGAAGCTTTGAACGAGCAAGCCAATCGGGCCGCACACATCCGGCTACTGATTGGAATCCAATCAACCAGAGCAGCTTCAGCCCGGGGACTCAGGGCAATGCCAACACCAGCTTGGCCGGTGCTCGAAGCTGCATCGTCACCGGATAGGCGCAATGAGAAAATACTGCTTGCGTCACCTGAAGGGGATCGCAGAGTGAGCACAGAGCTCGAGTCTTACAGTCGGGTCTCTGATAAGCAGCAGATATCGATCGAGAGGGTCTCCAATGTTCGGGCAAGTGCTGCCTGTTGACCGATCTGCAGTAGTGTGCGTACATTAAGGCATGCCAATCTGAAGGAGGATCGAGGGCTCCAAATGGAAGCCGATGAACTGGAATGGACCGCTTGATTGGGCATGGGCTTGTCGACAGGAGAAGAGTGACGCTCCGCGTTCACATGTGAGTTGAAGTTAGAAGGTAAATGCCTAGCAAAGCATGTTGGGGGAGGGCCAAGAATCGGGGGGTTGAAAACTGGGGGGATATAAGTGAAGTTGGAAGGGGACGGTAAGTGTGAAAAAGCATAAGATGGGGAATAAGAAGACGGGAAGGCTTGAGCAGTAGCATCCAAACCCCTATCCACCCTGCTCGATGCAGCAGATTGGGCACCGTTGATTATCCTCTGCGGTGGCCAGAGCATCAGCAATTTGTTTAAGATTCATGGTATTGCGTGGGCAGGATACTGTCAGGTTGCCCAGGCCTAGACAGGAGAACGATTAGGGTTCTCAACCAAAGCCTTTGGTTCAAAAACCTGACCGCAACGCAGCGGGTTTGGCGTTGGGCTACAAGGAGTCCGTTTTAAGGAATAAGGTGCCACCCTCATTCCAACCCCCAACCTGGAGGACCAGGAGGCTGAGTTTGTCTGGCCTCTAATCATTGACCAATCTGGTATGAGTGACTCTGAAGGTGCAAAAGCACCACTCAGCATAGCTCAATGGATCGTTGAGGCACACAAACCATCGCACCACGATAAGGTCCAGCCTCATTGCGATGGTATGGTCCTGATCGTTTGCTTCTGTTCTTCAACTCCGAATAATCATGTTGTCTCCCACGCCTCCAGGGTCAATTTCCCCCAGTACACAGTGCTTAGCTGTTATTTTTAAAAACCCGATTGCTTCCTCGGTTTGATCTCCATTGAGTTACTGTGTCAATCACTGTAGTTTACAGGTCTGAATATCTCTTATCGGTTTCTTCATCTTCTGTGATCCAACTCTAACCCCATCCCCGTTGTGTGTATCTTCTGCGTTCAGCTGTTGTTTCGCAAAACCACTTCGCTTCCGGAACTGTAAGTCTCTCACGCTGTTTGTTCGTTTTTTCTCAGTTTCTACTTAGTGATCGACAGAATCTCTATGGTTGCTTGGTCTCCACACTTGTCCCGTCTCATCTAACCATTGTTTTTGACTTTTTGCTGTCATATCTGTTCACTCACGTATGCAATGATGAAACACGGGCCGCAGTTTGTCGACGCCATTCGAAGCGCGCAATCTACACTGTTCGTTAGGTTGTATTTAGGTCGGTCACTGGTTTCCGGTCATGGCCACGCTGCGAACCGGACATCCTCGGGCTGATGTCGAGGACATCCTTACTGGGTTTTCTCACTGGCCAGTAACTGAATTCGGTTCTTTTTTCTCCGCTGGGTTGTTGTGCGGCTTGCTGGCTCTGATAAGCGGATCCCTGTGGTTTCCGCAGTGTTCGCGTCACCCCCTTCTAGTGGAGAGATGGACCAGTCTTTGGTTGCCACTGCTTACTGATCCGAATATGCCTCGCAATCGCTTCGCATGCTGACGGTCGATCCCTGGGTTTTTGCTTCAACCGGATTGCCTTCGACGCCTGTGTCGTGTCCGATCTCGACACCACCACACACTCCTCAGGACTGAGAGGCGAAAAATCATCGATCATCGAAGTCCAACTTCGATATCCCAATTTGCTTTACGATGCATGCGACTCGTAACGCTACTTCTGTGGTATTCCACACCTGAACTCCAAAGAGAGAGTGATATCTGAAAGCCCCGGTGGAAATTGGACTGTGGGTTTTAACTACCGCCGACCGCCGTCCTCCACTTACCGACTTTTAATCTGAGTATCTTCAAAGCATTGGTAGACTTAGTAGCTATCGAAACACGGGTGACATGTAGCAGATTTGGCCAACTGGCGGCTACGAGCCCTCTGTGTTCTCATAATGCAGCGCATTCGCAACGATCGGGTAACAACCGTATCGGCCGTAATTTTGTCTTTTGCATCGCCTTGTACTAGCCCAGGAGACCAGTATGCCTAGTCTGCAGCGAACAAAGATACACCATCATCCACGACGTTTCTGTCCTCGCACGTCCCCGGCCGCTGGGAACTCATAGGAACTCATAGGGGGATGTTACGACTGCGACTAGCTATCGGACTGTCGACTGCCGAGGTAGTTAGGCATACAGACTATCCTCATGTAAACGAAAGCACCATACCCCTGTTGCATGTGGAAAAGACGCATAGTTTACCGCACTGCACCCCCAGCACTATCTCAGTCCCGACTATGTTCATGTTGAATTCACGTCAGTTACGCGTTGCTTTCGTTTATACGTGGCACTTGCCAGCAGCTACACTGCAATTTGGATACTGTTGGATGACGGCGCCCCATCGTGTGACACAGTAGGACTTTTTCTATTTTTACGTGGTGAATTCCACACACATTCAGTAGGTCCAAAGTCTCCGGCTTGTGCTTTTTGCGCTCATTGCTTGATGCCGCTGCGATTACAGTGACCGCAAGCAGCTTTCGCTTTGTTTTCTCTTTCTGTCTTAACGAGTGGTCTATCGTTCAGCGTGTTATGGTCATAGCTTGACTTTGCAAATCCCATGCTTTTCAGGAGTTCCATCACTTAGTCACTTGTACAAATAAGTTTTCTCAATTGGGTGACCAATTCCCATGCCCTTTATCTGCCTCTAGGATATTGGGTCGTCGCCTCTCTTCACCCACGCACAAGCACAACCTTTGGCAACTAAGCTCTCGCGGGACTGAAGTCTTGCTCATTCGTCTTCACACAGGCACTGCCGTTAAACCATGCACAACACAACATTCTCTTTCCTTCACCAAGCACTCACAAACACACTATAACTCGTGTCTGTTTCCCCACCCCCTACATATGCAGTACAGTTCACCACATGGATGAAAGAGGAGATGGTTTAAAACCTAATACCCCCGGAGAAAACATTCAGGGCCAAGGCGCATACACCTTGTCAACAACACGGCAACAAACACCTGGCTATCGTACGAATGTTAGACTGTATCTGCAAGACAGCTTCCTTGCGGCTTTCACGACTCCGCGCCACATCTAGCCTCATCCCGCAGATAATTCAGTATTAGAGACGTTTCAGTCTGACTCGTAGACCAGCGGCAAGTCATGTCCTGCAGCGTCTGCATCCAAATATAGGGCGGGTCGCGTGGACTCTAACCTCGATGGTGGAACAAACCAACCACAGCTAGTTTGGCCGCCAGTTGCTGCATTTCTGCGGCTAAGCTTCCGGAACCACAGCTTGTCTCAGATTTGGTAAGCAAAGCAGAACCATTTTCAACGAATTGTGTTAGACCCTAGAGCGCTTCGTCTCATCCGCTGATCTAGCGAACAAGTGTATCCGCTTCCATTATATGCTAATCTGCGCAGCTCATTGTTGTGGTTATACTGGTGTTCCCTCATGCGGGCGTTGCGTAGTAAGCGATTGCAGTGCTTGCGATCCCCACACCGACGGGTACGGATCCCAATGCTTTTAGTTGAGAATGCCTCCCATTGTTACCCCGTATACACAGCCTTTCAGACTAAGGAAATCCTTTACTGGCTTCAAATGTTACCACCTGGCCAACTTCATCAACACCAATCTAATTTTACGCCTGCCGGTACAGTGACTGGTGTAAATCCAAACTCGATCTGTTTAGGATTACCGAACTTCCCAACCGTCCACACTCCGCCCCGTAACGCGCCCCCCCTTGATTCTGCATTCCTCCACTCATGTGTCGCCCGTCTGGCTGTACCACTGTGTATCTACTTTGCACAATTCTCAAGTATCTGGGCCGCCCAGATGTTTCTTAAACTTGCACGAAATTGCGTTTGCGCTTTACGCTTCACATCTTGTACTCACTCTGAAATACTTTCCTTCACAGCTAAACCCATCAATGTCCGCGAATGAACAACAAATTCGAGTGAGTTTTCTTCTCTCCTTTATTACATTTTTTCTTCTCGATTCCGATGTCTTTCCCCTCCGGCTCTTAATCCCACCCAAGTAAGCAGTTCTGTCACAACGAGACTGGACAACGTGATGCGACGGTTTGCGCACCTTCTTGACCCACTGAGCTATACTGGGTGGTGTCCCCGGGCCCCTTGAGAGCTACTCCTACCGTAGTTAGTGGTCAGATTAACTCAGTCTCCTGGTCAGGTTGCGCGATTTGAAATGAGATTGCGTCCATTTCTGTAAAACTGGATCGTTGCCACCTCGCCGCTGCATTGCGGACAGGCTTTTGAGCCAAAGGCTTTGGTTGAGGACCCTAAACGTCCTCTTGTCTTGGTCTGGGCGCCGTGGCAGTATCTCAACCCACATACAACCGTGACTATTTCTTCAAACTTCAACCACTCTATATCCGCCGTCTCGCAGATTATCAAGGGTCGCCTTATCTGCTGAATACAGCAGGTCAGATACGCGAAAATATGCTACTGCTGGCGTCTCCCTTCTTTCGTTTCCACGAGTTTATCTTACCCCCATCCCGACCCTAATTACTAACTTTCCTCCTATAATTCCCGGCTTGATTGACAACAGCCGTAATGCCACTGATGTCGAACTATCTGCCGCTATCTTTCCGCATCATCCACTGGGCGCCTATCGGCAAAATTCCCTTGTAAGGCCACCCTGTCCCGTTTCCTTGGTGGCGTTCAACGTTCACACTCTAAGACAAATAGCTCAACAGGCCGCACTCGCATGCATGTTAGACCCACCGCGTATCCAAAACTAGGATCAATGACTCTCATGTAGTTGTTGTATTAACTGCACCCGACTTGTCCTCTCGCTATTGGTTGCACGCATTCTGAGACACTAATGCGACAGCCTCTGGTCAAGCCGAAGTAGGTATCATACTCAGCTCGAAAGCTGAGTCATCGTTGGTTGATTAGATTCCGAGTAACAGCCCTTTGTGTGCAGTCCGTTTGACGACCCCATCTAAGGTTGATTCACGAAGTAGTACAAGACGCAGTTTGTTCGCGGTTTCTGCTTATGCTCCCACCGACTACAGCTCTGATGTTGCCATGGACACCTTATGCCACGTGCTTAACATGCAACTACGCAGTGCTACCAGTTCAGCTGTCATAGTACTTGCATTGGATATGAACGCACAAGTAGGTCGCCTGGGTTTTCAGAAGCTCATCCAGGTGGTAATTATGGGCTCAACTCCGACCATACAGCCAACGGCTAGTGTCTTTTGCAACTGTGTGCGGAGCACCAACTGTTTCTTAGTAGCACTGCTTTCAGACACAGTGGGCGCCGAGGTGACACTTGCCGCCCTCCTGTAGCTGGCCAGCGATGAACCCACATTGATCACATTGCCATAAGTTACAGGTGGCGTGGTTCCATCCTGGATTGCCGCTCGTACTGGAATACCTGCGTACACTCTGATCATGTCTTGATACGCTGTCGCTTTTCCATGAAATTTAATATGAGGCACACCAAACGCCCCCCTAATTGACAACTGGGAAATTATTCCAGCCCTCAGCCAGGTAAGCCTATCAAGACACACTGCGTACCGGACTTTCGCTGTCTTGTCCTAATGACTGAGCTTCAGTGGAATAGGATCTCGGTCGTCATTCACGACGCAAGAGCAACTGATTGTGGTACTATCAATAGTCACCGCACTAGTCACTGGATATCCGAGAGGTCGGTGAACCTGTTGGAATCTAGAAGAAACCTTCCGGTTGGCTCTGAGCACAATGTGACCAGATGGACTAACTAAACCGGCGCTTTCACGATGACAAGTAAGCCTGGTGAAGCAATCGAGCTCGAGAAATGGAGGAGGCGGAAGGAATGTGGAACTGTCGCAAGCTCTTCCAGTTGATCCGCACCAGTGGTACCAGGACACCAGACGTCTGTGAGACAATCAGAGACAGTGCGGGTGCTCTGATCCACAATAAGCAGCGCCGTATGGCCTTTTAGACGGAACGCTTTCAAGGCTTGTTCAGTTGACCCCCTGCTTCCGGACCTTTCCTACTCAGATCATGCAAGCTGCGCCATGGGCGGTTAGTTTGGATGCTCCATCAGAGGCTGAGGTCCGAAACGCGATCACAGCCGTCAATCGTTTTCATGCTGCTGGCCCATTTGCACTATTTAAGTGTGGTGGGGAGCTCCTCCGCAAGGCCCTGACCTCCCTGTACGATCATGTATGGAAGGAGGAAACCGTCCCGGCTAACTGGATTGAATCGTTTATTGTGGCAATATACAAGAAGGGCAGTCTCACCGACCGTGCTAACAACAGAGGTATTAGCCTAGCGCCGGTGGTGACAAAATTACCGGCCTCAGCACTCGTTTGTCGCCTCACTACCGAGACGGAATATCAGGTTAGGGAAGATCAGGCAGGTTTCCGCCCAGGATGTGGCTGTATAGACCACATATTTACTCTGTGGCAGGTGCTAGAACAGCGCTATGCTTGCCGCAGACCGACAACAGCTGTGTTCTTTAATTACAAGAATGCGTTCGATTTACTCGATCGAAGCATTCTGTTCGAAATACTTGCACGGAAATGTGTTCCCACGAAATACGTGAATATTTTGCGTGATCTGTACTCGAACACCACAGACCGTGTCAGGGTCTACGGTAGCCTATCGGATAGCTTTCCGACAACAAGTGGCGTTCGTCAGAGTTGTCCGATTTCCCCATTTTTGTTCAACTTCGTCGTGGACTTCATCACGGAGTGTTCTCTTACGGAGCCTTACAGTGCAGGTGTTGAGGTCCTGTCTGGTGGAAGGTTAGTTAATCTTGCTTATGCGGACGATACCTTCTTTCTGTTGAACGACATTTTGGCGACCCTATCAACCCTGAATAGCCTCTCTAGAGTTGTCCCATTATTTCCTATGCGCTTCGCACCTTCAAAGTGCAAAGTGTCACTGCAGGACAACCAGCCACTTGATTTCCCCTTGACCCTAGATACCGAGGCACTCGAGCTAATTGACCAATTCACTTACCTTGGTAGTTGTATCAACGACGATGGACACATAGCAACTGAAGTCAGTTCACGCACTGCAAAAGCCAGAACTGCTGTGTTGAATCTGCAATACTTTGGCGACATAAAGTGGTTTGCCTCCTTTTGAAAGGCCTTGTTTGCAAGGCCACAGTGCGGGCAGTCCTACTTCATAGGAGTGAAACTTTGCCCCTTCGGTCTGAAAATCTGAGACGCCTTTAAGTCTGATCATCGCTTTCTGCGGAACATTGCTTATGTCGGGTGACACCAACTTGTCCACAACGATGTTATGCGTAGGGGAGTGCTAGGCAATGATACACTCGTTCCTTAGAACAACCTATAACGCTGAATACCTTGCGTTGGCTTGGGCACGTACTAGTTATGCCTGGTCACCGATTAGCTAGTAGGGTCTTGTTTAGTCGGCCAAGTGTAGAATGGCGAAAGGCTCGAGGTGGACAGAACTTGACTTGGCAGCAGGAACTGAAGTCACTGATTATCAACCTTGTTGCCGTCGGTCCGTCTCACTTTCCAGGCTGAAGTCCACGTGTCCCGCCTTGTGCTTGGCTCGAGACTTTGCAAGATTTGGCTCGCACCCTACTCTAGTGACGCGTCTACTGCCGTCTAGTCAGACTGTCGGTTTGACGTATTTTTGATGCTGAGTTTTCTGCGGCGTAATGGCTGATTATCATGCGGGGCAGTGAAAATCGCAAGGAAACTGTCTCGCTGCTGCCCCCTTTTCTTTGCACAATAGCCAGCTGTCTGTGACGATATGTTGTTGATAAGGTGTAGGCACCTTGACCGTGCTTCTTTACTTAGGGCGTTAAGTTCTTCCGGTTGTATGGCAGCGATGCATCAGTTTACGTGGCTGATGTACTGCTGTTGAGGATGACGATGATGATGATGATGGTGGTGGTGGTGGTGGTGGTGGTGATGATGATGATGATGATGATGATGGTGGTGATGATGATGATGAACAGTAGTTAACATCTTAGGCGTTTACACTTGTGGGAACCACCTCCCAAAATTGTCAAAGTAGTTTGAAAAGCAAGGCATGTTAACAATCCAGCCCACGAGTTTCTAGTTTCTGGGACTGCTAGGTTAGTTACTCAAGACTGGTTTATAACCGAACCTTCTACTCCGGATATTAGGCGCGTACGTCACTTGATATGCTTGTATTTGCTGGAATCGAGTTATTACTTATTTGCCCATTCTATAATCTCATATAATTAACGAGTTTTCCTAAACATTGCACCTACCATCAGACATACATGCTTCAGGCTCGTGGCTACTTGTGCTCCTGTTGGTTTACCGACCCCCTTCGTTACTTACTTTCCATTTTGGTTTTGCGTCCCGTGGTATCAGTTAGCCTTTTACTTTACGGTTGATAGTGAACTCAGGATGCCTTCAGTGCGTCAGTACTTATCTGGTTTCTCCTTCTCTGCGCGCTCTACTATATGTTGCTTTGTACGCTGTGTGCCCAGTCAACGCCGGGCTAGTCAAACTCGATTACTCCCGCGAAACTAACCCACAATGGTTCCCCAAGGTCGTCGCGTCTACCGACGTCTCGTGCGTTATGTATACACATCTTAGCCAGTTGGGTCTAGCTCTTCAACCGAATATGGATTGTCATTATGACTGTTCGAATGTGCAGTTCTGCTCGCATTAATTGGTTAGCTGCGGATCCCAGCATCCACGACTTCCAAAATTCAATATTCACCCGGTCAGCATCACACTCACACAGGACTTAAGATTAGTGCATCAGTTATGGGGCGACACAGCTACATTGGCCCTTTGCGTTTCAAGTGAGAATTCTGCTTACTCTGTCACCAGTGCTTACGTTCGATGCGATGGCCAGGCCTCCGTGACGTGTTCAAATGGATAAAACTACGAGTTGTTACAGCTGTCGCTTTGGCTTGGGGAACAAGTGCCTCATGGATTCCCGCGTGGCAAGCAACGCAAGTTGTTGCATACAGCTCCAGACTACCGCGTCTCCTTCGCTACCAGGGCATATCGAGTTTCTTCGAATCCGAGGGAGGGATGTAAACGTTATGTCTTTTCTCGGCTTATACTTCAATTGGCTTGCTGCAACAAAGCCATCAGTTATCACACACAACCACACGCACACACTGTGAGAGGTGCAATTAACTCAGAAGAAGACCGCCACTAGATTGCGTTGACTCATCCGATCCAACTTCCGACCCACTGATGATCACCACGACACAGTAGCGTGCTTTCGCCCTTTCTTTACCCCTTCAACTCTACCGTGCTTGAACTCTGAAACCTGTGAATGGCGCTGTTGGCAGCACATTTCCCTTAGAACATAGGAGGGGGATTTAAGTTTGTCTGTGCAGGCATCCATCACATCTCCGGCGAACGCTAGACGGCCGTTTCGCCTTATTTGGTCTCGGCAGTGGCACGCGTCAGCCGGATCCTGCTGGATCAGAACCTATGGTCTTAACCTTACGAGTCAGTTACCTACGGCTTGGTGGCTTAAGTCACTGGCTCCCAAGAATATTGCTATGAACCTAGGGAATGCACTCTATTAATCAGCCCTAATAGGGCCAACTGGTCATCCTTCGCTTTTCTTGCATGAGTTGTTGCTTTTGTGTTGAATTCAGTCACATCCCTTAGGAAACGTGCAGTCCATGCAATTACCATTTAGCATTACAATAGAAGGTTCATCGTCTCTACTACAGGGCTGTTCTCCATACGAAAGTCTGCTCCATGGGTCGACTGTCCGTTCTTGTTATCAACTGTATGCATGCCAAATTTCCATTCTACTTACCCATCACATCATGACACTCAACCTCCCCTCGATCTTTTCAATGTGTTCACAAGGAGTTGCAAGAAAAGCTTTCTGCTACCCAACAGGAGAACGAACTAATAAAAGCTGATCGGGACGATTTGTTGGTACTTGTGCATGATCAAGACTCCCAAGTGAAACGATTGCGTCGGATGGTCAAACAGTTGGGCGGTCAGGTGAGAGGTGACTTGTGCATATGGTCTATTGCCACTACCCCTGGTGCTGGTCTACTGAGTTTCATTCATTGATATTTGTTCACATAGGCCGAATGCATCATCCAGCCAACAGGTGTCATTGCGTCCCGTTTATGAGTTGCATGAAAAACCATCTTCGTCAATAGTTTCAAAACCTCGATATCCTGTCTCACCTCATGAGTCTCACCATAGAAATCCAGCTGTTTCCAGCGAATATTCATCACTCATCCTTTACACCTGTCCCTTGTGTCCACGGAGTATTTTTTGGTCTCGCACGGCGCGCACACCTGCTCTCTTGGCCTCCTCTTCCTAGGCTCTATGACACGTGAGATGACGCGGATTGTCGCACTAGTCACTTACCTACTTGACTGAAGAATACCGTGCTGAAACTCGTTTCTTCAACAAATTGAGAAACACCAACATACGGCGTCTTGTTGAAATAATCTAAGCAGTCGTTCTTGTCAACATCATCTTCCAACTACCCTAATGTATACAACTCCACGAGATGGCAGCATTCTACGCTTCACCAGCTGCCTGGATACTTTAATGCATGTCAAAATTTTTTATGATAGTCCTCCTTTAGTTGAAGCTGTTGCCTTTGATTCGGTCGGTTGCGCTATCCCTCGGAGTAACTCACATGTAGGACCTCCTTCCATCCGCAGTTCTCTGTACCACAAGTCCGAGCCAGATTGGTGGGGAAGCAGTCTCAGGTTTTGACCACAAACGTGGCTGATCAGGGCTGTTTTATCTATTCGTTTCTCATTAATTTTTAATTAACCTGATCATGCGTGACTATAATCTGTCCCATCCACTTTATCCGGAGCAAAAATTCTACTAGGTGATCTGCTGCCAATGTTAACGCCTAAGTGAATGGCACTGCCTACTTTTTATTTGCCAAATCCAATCACTATTCCCCGCTCTGTGATATGACTGTGTCAAGTCATCGCCTGCATTCACTTTCAACGAGCACCTTGACAATTTTTTTATTCGGTTACTTATCTAAGTGAGGGTATCATTTGTTAGAAGAACGAATCAATCGAACCCGATTGATCGACTACTGGTGCTAGCTGCTCTAGCGAAATGCGCAAATCTACCGTATATTAATAGAGTCCAATCTGAGATTTAATGCAGATCTACGTAGTCATATTAATTAAGTTCCACTCAAGGTGTGAATACTTTTGTGTCTTATTGATTTGCATCATACATCTTTATTCTTTATGGCATTTAAAACACAGTTGCCTATTAAGATAGATATACTCCGATTGTGGCTCATCTCTCTACCGTCAGTTGGTGGGTGGAAGCAGTCGCGGGGCACCACACAACAGCCACCTATGATGGTGGGGCTACTACTTCTTTTCCGATGACATTTCCCAGCAGTCACCAACCGTATTTGATTAGAACACACGACCTCCGAGGCAACCCCCTTGGAATTTGTCTCGTCCACTTGTCAACGAGGTCGAACAAAACCGCGATTTAGTTCACCGCTAATGGGGATTGCTCATCCAAATCCCTTCACATAACTACTACTAGACCCCGTAACTTCCAATCAATAGTATTTTTCCTAATCACTCCTTTAACGCACTTATATCTCTCACACAATTTTTTTTTCCAACGGTTTACATCCACTGTCAAATTACTAAGCAAATCTTTATTTGCTCTGTTACTGTCGCGCACTTACACTGATACCATTGCTACACGTTTACATTAATTGTCCTTTGTCCTGATTTCAAGCTGGAAGATGAATCGAACGACGAGGACGACCCATCGGACATCTGTGATGGACACTAGAATGCTCCTCGCCTCGGAGTCTGGATTGTCCCACTTCAAGCGGCCCACATAACATGGCATGGAATATCGCCTTGGCCTTTTCAAATTTCTCCGGAGCACCCATTCCTAAATCACAACGATCCCTACTTCCGGCCGGTACTTCTGCGAACTCCTTCGTGTGCATCCCCTGTTGTCGTTCCTCATCGCATGCACACGGCGATTGTCATGGAATTGCCGAGTATTTCATGCTTCCCGATTGTGATTCCATTGCATGCTTCGTTCCTTCTGCTTCCTGTTGACTTTTCTCCCTTTCTTTTTCATCACCCTCCAGGTGCTTTTGCTGAGGTGTATGTCACTTTGAAAATACACACACCCAAACACGTGCGTTCTCTATTACCTCCCCACCACCCTGTTAGATGCCTCATCCACTGCCACAGTGGTTCGACTATTTTTCTCGGGAGCGACGCAACCTACTCCAGTTCACGATTCCTCATAGCCGCGTCTCCTCTATCAGATATACATGCAAAAGCATGCTGAATGCTTATCTTTACGTCTATTTGAATGAACTTATGACAAGACATTTCGAACTAACACTTGATCAAAGAGAATGCTCATCGGCAGTTGACGTGACTAACTTTTGTTGCACATCTCACTTAAAGTAGACAATGGTCCCATCGTCTCTAGATCTCTTTATTCCATCATTGAGCGATGCGGTTTCCGTCTGATCGATCCTAGTGTGCACGGTGACTAATCAAACCGATGGACACTGCAATTGACCTTTTTACCGCAAACACATCATCCGAGCGACACACTCCTTCCGCTGCTACTACTCTGTCGGCTTTTTATACCCTCACTGATGCTACTCATTACGTCCGTTTTAGGGAACCTTTTTTGCCCAAGCAATCATGTGGCGTTCGCCTGTACATGGCACCAAATGTCCTGTGTTCATCTTGGCGGGGCAACCTATGTCATATAACATCCTGGCCACTTCGTCTTCCGAGGTTCACCTTGCCACAGAAATTTCAGATTCTCTGCTGTCGAATTACATCATTCCCGAAGCCGGTGGGAATCATTCTGTGAAGCATTCTATCATCTGTTTGACCATCATCACCATTGTGGAGTCTCCATATTGTATTTGTCATGTGTGATAATGTGTCCGCAGCACGAGTGCCTAAGAGACACCCGTGACAGCGAGTTCGCACAAGAAGGACTCTGGGTGCAACATGGTTTTCCTTGATACATGCCCCTTCCACTGGACCTCCTGACAGGAGGAGGCCCAAGGCGCTTCCACACATGTGTGACAGCCAACAAACCAAATGGAAGGCGGAGTCAATAACAGTCAACTGTTTCACGCCACTCATGAGTGTGCAAAACATATACTCTTTCGCTGCACAACCCGTTAGTTCATCACAGTGAATGTGGACTGGGTCATGATGCCACGCCACACGCTAACCTACCTGGCGTGTTGCTTTGCACTTTGGATTGAAACGGAAGCGGGTTGAGCCCGATTACAGACGCAGTATACTAATATTATAACACATTCGCATACACAAAATGTTTCTTAGGATTTTTGGAGTAGAATATGTTAGCTGTGAAGATCCTTGGATATTCCATTTTCCCCAAAGCCTCCTCTTTTAATTCTATTGAAGTGCGCGCGCTGCCTTATCCCACCGTTTGTGGCTGGATTTAGTAGAGTTTCTTCTGATCCGGATCACTTTCCGCCGAGGCTAAGATTATTTGGAACAGTTAATTCCCTTGAGTAATTTGAAAAGCGCAGTAAGAAGACGAAGATTGGCATGTGTCTCGAACAAATCCACAAGTCTGGTTTGTACCGTCTCAAGATGAGCGGATGCAACCCGTCTAAGATTAGTTGCAGAGGGCCTCAATTTGTTTCTACGTAACACCTTCACAATCGATCGAGAATAACGACGCTGGCGGGTACATTCGGAGAGGAAGGATATTTCCACACGCTTGCAAGCAATCTTACATCGCAGGTTGATAATGCGGCGAAATAGCTTGACTTTCAGCGGGAATTCGTCTTTTTAGAAATTTGAAACAGACGGGTTGCATCCGCTCATCTTGAGACGGCATAAACCAGACTTGTGGATTTACTCGAGACACACATGCCAGTCTTTGTCTTCTTACTGCGCTTTTCAAATTACTAAAGGGAACTAACTGTTTCAAATTTCTAAAAAGACGAATTCCCGCTGAAAGTCAAGCTACTTCGCCGCATTGTCAACCTGCGATGTAAGACTGCTTGCAAGCGTGTGGAAATATCCTTCCTCTCCGAATGTATCCGCCAGCGTCATTATTCTCGATCGATTGTGAAGATGTTACGTAGAAACAAATTGAGGCTAAGATTGTTTCAAAAATAATACTCAGTTGTTGGAATGTTTGGCTGTCTGGACAAATATTTCGAGCGATGATGGATTCAGATGTCGTCACTAATCGGAATATCAAACGCAACTTTCCTTTTCATCCTCTGATAGTGTCCTCTATTCGTCTAAAATATTCGGATCGGTAATGACGGCATATTTGAGATCCCCAACTTTAAGTAGGACCACAGGCTGGTTCCACTCTGGTAAGACTTGCTTTGCATGTACAGGATCATCAATGATCAATCACTGTAATGTCCGTATCTTGGCATATGTTCCTTGGAAGTAAACCATGCAACCGGTACCGGTGTACGCTGTCATATCTAGATCATCGGAAGACCTCAACAGTGGCTTGAATTGCTCCCACCGACTCGCTGACGGGAATGACACCTTTTATGATTCTGTCGTCTGATCGGCGGTTTTATACGATTGTGATGTCTTTCTGTTGTAATCGACGTGCACGGGGCTCAGTCTCTTTTGATCATCATGGTGTCCGCAGCTCAGCACACACTGTAGGGGGGCGATGTAAGCAACAGTAATGTTCACTAATGCATCTTGGGCACCTACAACCATATTATCAGTTATCGTATTCAGTTGGGTTACCGCACTCGTGTGGTTTCTAAGGACTTCATGTTTTCACTTTAAAACCCTCACTCCCATAGACGAGTTCCGATGTCATCACTGGTAAGCAATTTGGGTGCAGTTGTCTTTTCAATTGACTAACACCTGGCGACATCAAATACGAGCATTCGTTATGTCATGTACCTCCCCTCCTAGTTAACGAAACTCGCTAATAGAAGTCCATTTCCATACCAGAATCCCCGGCCAACCCATCCTGAGGCCCATTGACAGCAACAATTCCCGGAGAGTTCTTTCGTTTCTGAGTCTTTCAGTGAGAACACTTTGGGTGGGTACTCGACTAACAGGGTTTCCCGGGCTATGGGGTGTCTCTAGTAACACAAAATTTTCCTCTAGGTCTTTTCGTTTGATCTATATAACCAGTGTCTTTTTGACTGTAGAGATCGTTGTATCTTCGGATGTTCAACCATGGGTTGGATCAGGACTTTTGTCTCCCGATTTGGAAATTGTCTTGTGTGCAATTTGCAATATATTTCTACCGGTTATTCATACAGCCACCAGCGGTAACACACCACTCCCTCAGCATAACAACACAATTGCTTCCGACCGTCCAGTGCTTTCCTGAAGTATGACGACTGACTGACTGAGTCCAAATGTGATGCATTTCACTTTGATGCCATTTGAGTTTTTCGACTAATTCCTTTTTCATAAGTACGAGGGCAGAGCACAGACGGGGCCTGTAACTCGGCCGTTGCCATTTTCACTACCGCTTTTACAATGCCGCTACGGATGCATTAGTTTTCCCCGGGGCATTTCAACATTGACCCTTGTCAAACCATTTACAATATCTTGTCCCTCGTCTACTTTTTGAGAAAAATTCGAGATACTGCGCACTTCGAGATGAACCGTCTCGATTGGAAATCTAGAATGTAATGCTGGCTTGTCAACAGAATGCAGCTTTAAGTATTCTGTCGAGAATTTTTTTGTTGTTGCTCGTTTCTACTGAACATTTATTCAAGTGACGCTCACACACTGTGTATTTTCCTTTCATACAATTTTGCAGTTCTGATAATATAATTTTAGCCCATCTGTAATCGGTGTTGTAAGGTGCTGAAAATGTACCCGTCTGGATGTATAAAGCTTATATTGAAAAAAGACGTTTCCGGATGCACAAAAAATCTTATTTTCACAAAAAAATACGCATTACATTTTCTCGAAGTACTCTCTTCCAGCGTTCATGCACAGTTCAATGCGCTGAAGCCATTTGGAGTAGTAGCTCGACCATGCCGTAACGGGAAACCTTTCAAGCAGCTCCATAAAGCCCTCTGCTGCAGCTTCTGGGGACTCGTGGCGGATTCCGCGCATCATGCGCTTGACATTTGGGTACACAAAATGGTCACACGGAGCCAGGTCTGGACTGTGTTGGGTGGCGCCTGGGATACTAGTCGGTAATCAATGACACGCAAGAGACGTATCATCTACCGGACAGTATAGAAGTTGGAGGCGACTGAACCCAACGTGTATTGTGCAAGCTACAATGATAGGAAGCGAATCAACCAGAGCGAGAAACGGTGCAGCAACGTACTCACCAAAACGATTTATGTCAACGGATGTACCGTCAGTAAAACAAGTGGACGTTTTGAAGGTTAAAACAACCGTAAAATCCAATGTTGCAAAGTACTGAACGATCGTGTTTTCCGGTACACTACAACTGTAGAATGGGTGACCAACCTTCTAGATGCGTTCTCTAGCCACGAACTGTACGGTGAAATGGGACCTGTGTGCAAGTGCGTTGTCATGTTGCAGCTAGGTCCTTCGTGCTTGAGTCCTTGAACGACGCCTGGCCACAGCTTTCAGCACTTATGGCAGAGGGTGGGTGGCATACCATTCTCCGGTGATTGCGCATTGCCTTACGAGCGGTACAGTAGCCACATGACCAGTCTTGGTCACGGACACAGTCACCATCTGCTTGGCCAGACTGCACTCACGTCGGAATTCCTGAGGCGACGCCCCACCAATTGCCGTACACTGAGCCGATTGTTGCTTGGTCTCTGGGTCCAAACTGTACGCCCAGGTCTCATCACCACTGCGGATCTCCCAGACAGCATTGGCTAGCATGATGCTGCACCAGTTATCCCCAGCTGCTTCCTGATCATCACCGAGCTGACGGGGTACACAGTGTACGCAAAACTTTCTGAGGCGGAGGCTCTTATGTAGTATGGTGCGGATTGATACCGATGGCTTTCCCCAGCTGTACCACATCACTCGTGCGTCCTCCTCCAGCATCGCTTGCGCAGCAGCAATATTGTCTGCGGTGGTGCCCTCCACAGGTCGACCTCACCGTGCCTCATCATCGAGGCAGCCGCGCCGTGCTTGAATTCCGCAAACCTCTCAAACATGGGGGGTTCTTGAACGTGCATCATCACCGAA